TTCTCTACAGTATTTTGTGTTGGGTGAGCAGTGAGTCTGCCGTGAGTCAGATGGTGTATTATTTCTGAGCTTCTTGGTCTCTCCCGTACAAGCTCTCCTTCACGTCTTTGTCACACCCTCTTTTTTTTTTTTCCTTTCTATTTCTCTGTCTATATACATTCAGTCTTATCTAAATATTTTAGCAGTTAGGCCATAGCTAGGGAATTCTTTGTGAAATATGATTATAAGAAAATCTTTTTGGTCTGGCTGCACATCTCAGCACTCACATTTGAGAGTCTGAGGACACACATAAGCTTTACCTTTGCCTATCTGTTCCTTTATTATGATTTTCTTTCCCATACCCAAATGTTTACACTCATTTCTCCCAGGATGGAAGAAATGCAAATTGCAAGAATTTAGTCTTATTTAGACCTACACTATGTTCACTGATTCAATCATAAAAAATAAAATCTCTCTTGGCATCGATTCATGCATTCACAAGCATGCACACACACCCATGCATGCACACTGCTATTATTAACTTGTGCTTTCATAGTTCTATTTATCTCAGTTTCTCTAGTGGATGAAGGTCTGCCAGACAGAAGTTGACTTTGCAAAGAACAGTGACATCCATACAAAAGAGAGACGTTTGCAGTTTTGGCAAAAAAAAAAAAAATAATTAATTGGTTGCTACAACAACAGAACAAGACTTGTGTAGTGTAATTATGCACAAACATCTGACTCTATAGTCTAGAAATGAGGTGCAACTGTTGAAAAGTTGAAAATAGCCAGAAAATAAAGCTGGCATGAACTTGAGGTGACTTTTTTTGACAGGCACTGTGCCACCCCAGGCTGACCTTGGACACATGATCCTCTTGCATCATCCTCCTAGTCACTGGGGTCATAGGTGTGCACCACCATGCATGTCTTGGATGCTTTAAACCATGTTCTCTGTTCCTTGTTCCAGAAGTGCCTCAAAACATAGGAACTTGGTAAATATGCTCCAGGAATGATAAATTAAAGCTAACACTCATTGACAAATTCAGTGCATTGGAAGAGGCCTACGACTATTATTCAAAGTCATGGGACCCACATGGTAGAGGAGAAGTAACTCTGGGAAGGAGCTCTTCATGAGCGAAGGAGTGCTTACTTGGTTGTAAGTATTAGCACATTTTATTTTATAAACCACAATCCTTATATGAAAAGACCATAAACCGAATTCTCACAAAATTAATACTTCTAATACCTTTCCTTAGTTTAAGAAAATATTGTCAACCCATGAAAGGCTCCCAAAGATAGCTCAGACCTCTTAGTAACCCTTTCCCTGGTTTTATTTGTAGTTTTACCACTTAAGCATAAAATCCCAACCACCAATTTTTAAATTTTATATAAAAAACATGCAATTTGTTGCTAGTGATATAGATATCACATAGTCTCCCTATGTAGGTAGCCCTTGTAGGCATGAAATTTTCCCTGAGTGCTAGGATTAAAGGTGCCTGGCATTTGTGATTTTTTAATTCAAAATTACATATGTATGTGTGTGTGTGTGTGTGTGTGTGTGTGTGTGTGTGTGTGTGTGTGATTTATACATACTACATGTAGATGCAATTATGTAATTTCTATTACTTTAAAACAGTCCATTATATGAAAAGCACAATAATTTATTTAGTCACATTATTTGTTGAAAGGAATTTGTTCTTAGTTTTAGTACAAACACTGAGATGCCCTTTACAATGGCAGATTCATAAATGACATGCCCCCCCATTCCTGCCAAATCCATATTGAACCCTGGACATAGAGTTAATCACAGCCTGTTCTAGAGATATTTTCTATTTGGCTATAAAGGATTGGCTAAAGAATCTCTTAAGTCAAATTTCTCCAATGAATGCCTTCATGAGAATTTTAAATTAGGATAAAATATATGTCCTTGGCCTCCAGGAAGAAAATGTGTGAATAGAGGCATCATTGGCAGCCATTTTATGAAGGTGCTGGAGAAAAGTGAACTGCAAACACAGAAGAAAAAGAATGCAGCAGACACTGGAGGTGCATTGTTGTAAGACAAAAGCATAATTCTCATTGCTGAAACCCTGGTGTTAGTTGGTTCCAAAGCTTTTGAATGCTGATAACAAATTTTGCTTTGGTTTAGGAGAACTTAAATGCAGCATCTGTTGTGCAGAACTTTCTTCCCAGATAAAATCTTCCATCCCATAGGAAAGCTCACTAAACTCAGAAGGTAAACAGCTCAATAGTTTCAGGAAGTCTCTGCAACTGACCAGATTCTCCTGGCCCTTTCTTCCTGAAGCATATATATGCAGTGTAGCCAGCTCAAAGTCATTATCAGACAAGCTGGACCACCTGAAAAAGGTACTCCAACTTCTTCAGCAGTCTGCAGGCTGTGCAGTGTGTTTCAGGTCCCAACTTTCCTGAGCAGACACCCGTGCTGGGGTGGGCTTTAGTGATGCACCTGTCTTTGAGTCATTTCTGCTCCTGAGAGTAACACCTTACCCATATTCCTATAAGGAACCCCAATAAATGTACCTGTCCACCAAATTGGACTTTGGTAGTGTCCTTATTTAGATTGTTCATTGTTCATTACCTGGGATAAATAGACATTTGTTCATGTCTCCTCAAGAACAGTGTCACATAAGAGCATCTGCTGGGTCCACATACAAACTTTCTGTAAAGCACCTAGTTCTGACTGTGTCATTTAGACTGTATAGCATAGCAATTGTACACTGGGGATTTAAATGTTGGATAAATGATACTAAGTTCTTGGGAACTTAAATGAATAAATCAACCTCTCCTTTCCAGTAACACATAGAATCTTGAACAAAAATATCTCCAAGGTTTACTCTGTATGTAGCACAGAATTATCCTATCAAGATAGCAATACTAAAACTTGCAGCTTACTATTTGAACTTAGCTTCTGGAGTGACAATAGAGATCCCAGAGAACATTTATTGTAAAATTATTTTAAAACCAAAATATTTCAGGAATCCTGTACTTAGTAAATGTATTCTCCATTAGGATGCTTCCTGGTATACAGCAAGCACTCACTAAATGTTTGCCACATGAAAGGACCAATAAAAGCTTTAATATAGAGTATTTTTATCTCATCTTCAAAAGCATTAAGCATACATTTTAATGCCAGCTTTCATTTGATGCTTTGAAGAAATTCCTAGTCTTTACAAAAGCCAAACCCAATCTTAAAACACCAGCTTCCGCTTCTGGATTCTTCTGAGTGGAAGGGGTTAATAGAGTCAGATGCTGCCAATAGGATTTCCGCAAAGCACAAAAGTACAGTGCCAACACAAATCCCCCAAGAGTAAACAAAACTCGGAACTGTTGCAGACAATAAATTGTCAATACCTTATAGAAGAAATGGATAATGAAAACTTATCATGCCTATAGTTAGTATCCTCTTTAAAAGAATTTACAGAGCCCATGAAATTAAATTCTGTGCACAGTTCTCTTAATTTGTCCTTAATTAAACAATACTCCATAAATGGTGCATTCAGTGACCAAATGTTCAGAGACAGCAAAATGGTGGGTCCCAAGCCATTAGGAATGAAATAAAGGCAGTCCCTGGAGAGTCTGCAAGAATCTGGTCTCTCTAAGTGACAACTGATGGTTTAGGAAAGATAATTAACTTTGCAATTACAAACTGCAGCTTTCACCAGTGCTGTTTCCCCAGCATAATCTCTTAAATGTTGGATTATTTACTATAACCTGAAATAGTTTGCTTGGAAAGGAAAGAAACCACAAAAAGTAGCCCACCTTAGGTTGCTGAGTTCATCAGGAATTAAGTCTTTATTGATTAATTTAATGGGTATTGTTTTTTATTTCTAATGTTAGATCAATATCCATTTAATGTGCAATGACCCTGCAGATTCTCAACACTAACATTTCAGCCATAAATTTATACAAATATAAAACAATATACTTTCTTCCACAAAACCAGAAAAATAAATATTTCATTTCTTAATCGCTAAGTCAACGTGAAATGCTTGTCCTATAAATTAAGAGCTACAACTTTTAAGGAACTCTCATTTTTTTTGTAGATGTAGTAACTTTATGCCATTTTTTTCTGCTTAAGTGATTCTCTGAAAATCACATTACTTTATTTATTATGGATTTTTAAATTACCTCAGTACCGGAATAATCTGGTTTTGCTTTTCCTCCCCCAAAGAATTCAGTCTACCCAAGTCTACCTGATCAACTTTTCTTAATGTCAACTGACACTGCATTAGGCAAATGTTAATGGCAGGGAGGATTGCTTTTAAAAGATCTGATTGTGGGATGGATGCTTCATTGCATCTTCAAAGACAAAAGCGTGAGCTATAAAAATGCCCTGGATTCATTTTAAACCCCAAATTCCTATCTTCTTGTCGATATTTACAGCTCATCAGATGACCACACCTTTCTCTAGTTTGCCTCATATTTTGATTATTTCTGCTTCCAAATAGATATGCTTGTGTGTGCTTGTTCATATGAGTCTTCTTTCATAGCAAATGCAGTAAAGTTGACTCAGTCATGTAAATTCCAGTTTTCTTTTATCTATACTATACAGTTAAGATGGAGAGCTAAAAGACATCAGAAGGATACCTTGCTTTTGATTTAGTGTTTCAGTATGTCAGGGAGGATTTGTCAGATTGTGTGGAGACATTCAAATAATGCATTTAGGGTTTTATCTAAGACCCCTTGCTGTTAAGTAATCTTTGTATGTTTTCTGGAAGTGGGCAGGGCCAACATTCCCATCTTCCTTCTTTTAGTCACCCATCAAATATTTATTGAATTCTTACTACATGCTGTCCTCATTTTTTTTTTTTGTTCTGTTGCTGTGATAAAACTCTTTGACAGAAAGTGACTTAGGGGAGAAAAGTCTTATTATTTTTGCTCATAATACTATATCACAGTCTATCACTTTGAAGAAATCTCAGTAAAAAGAACTTGAGACAGTGGCAAGGGCTGGTCACATTATATCTATAGTTAAGAGCAGAGAGAGGATGATGTATGCATACCTGGTATCCAGCCAGCTTTCTCCATTTTTATAGAGTTGAGGGCCCCAAACCAGGGACTAATGCTATTCACTTTCATGTTGGGTCTTCTCTAGTCAATTAAGGCAATTAGTACAACCTCCTGCAGACATACCCACAGGCCAACCTGACCTGGACAATCCCTCATGAAGACTCTTTTCCAAGTGATTCTAGGTTTTGTCAAGATGACATCACTGTGACAGTAACTTACAGGTAACATCACTGTGATATCACAGTAACACTGTGACAGAACTTATAGGTACAGAATATATGCAATGCCCTCAAGGAAATGACCCTGGACTGAAAGCCAAAGCTGTTTGCAGGTATTTGTCATACATATATAGTCAACGATGACTTACTTGAACATCAAGAAATAGGATAATGGGGTGTTCTGTACCTAGGGGCTTGAAGTTTACCTTGCCACAGAAAACCCAGCCAACATTCCATATTCATGTCCATTTCCACATGCACTCAGCACAATTTTTGTCCTTCTGTGAAGTGGAAAGTAAGCAATTATTTACCAGGACACTTGAGAAAAGCTCATCTTTGTGTGTTTCCATCTTAATCAGCCTCCAGATGGCAAGAGTACTTCATCTTCAATATCTTTTAACTGAAGTCCCTTGCCATTTACATCTTCAAGTGAACCCAACTTTGGTCATTGTACTAGACTGGTCCCCATGTCACCTGCTGCCTTGGGGGCTTTCAAGGTTTTCTCCCTCTTGCACTTGAGACTACTCTTCAGGCCTCTGGCATGCACAGCTTTACTCTCACGCTCTCAGTTTGAGCCACCAACAAGCTTAGGTCTCAAGAGTGTCTAGAGAATATATCTTCCTTCTGCCTCCAGGTCTCAAAAGCTCTCTCAGATGACTCTGCCATAACAATTGAAGAGAGATTCAGATGCAGTTGTGAATCTCTAATGTGAAGTTTCATTGCCTGCATTTTGGGCAAGATCAGAAGGCTCATAACTGTTCTGTTTGCATTTTTTGTCCTTCTGCACTCAATTTATTGTGTGCACCTTCAGGAAGAACATAACCTCAGACATGCTTTGATTATGTTATTTTTTCTAGTTCTGTATCATGCAATAAACTGTTTCAGGCACAGGACCACCCTCCTTGGGATGAAGAATATGTAATACTCCTTCTTATGCTTTTCTGGACAGCCACCACAGGCTACCAAGATAGAGAGGGCTTGTTAAAATCTATCTGATTGATGCTAATGTTGCTTTATGTGGATGTGAATCATGCATGGATGATATTCCATCAGTATTTAGGAATCACCAGCTGAACAAGAAAGAATAGTTTGCTTTATGCCTTGGTTTTCCCTGGCCTTCACTTTATGTGTGTATTTGACCTATTTTAGGAAGAATGAGGCTGTGATACTTGATCATGAACATCATTTTGTTCCTCTAGAGCCTTTTGAGAAGCTGCTGTTGCTACCCTGGGGGCATATATTTAGTGAAATGCTGCTTAACAAAATGATATACCGAGAACATAGATGGTGAGCACAAACTTCCATGACTTGGCCCTTATATCCCTTCCTAGTTTAGCTGATATGGCTTCTCATAATTTCTAGTAACCAATTTCACATTCTGGACAAAAAAATGGTCATTTCTTATTCCATCATAATCTAGACCTTGCTAAATATCTGCCATCACTCTCCCACTCCCAAGTTTCTCAAAATGCTGACCTTAGCATTTTGAGTGTTAAATGGACGGTGTGACAGAATTTTTCTGGGGAGACACAATACACATCTACTCACCCCAGAAAAAGAGCCCATCATAGACCAAAGCAACAACTGCACTGATGTTGAATGAGTGTTTTTTTACTGAGGTTACTCAAGGGAGTTTGGGCGATGAGTTACTTACAAAAGCAGCTGCATAATTCAAAAGCCCACCCAACATGGGTGATGTCCCCTGAAAGTTGAAGCCCTGGAGCTCTCTATGAAGCTTGCAGGCAGCTTGCAGTCTGAACCCTTTTCCCTTTCTGTAGGTTGGCTTGTTGAACTCGTCCCCTCCAGTATCCCTCTCCCCATTCCCTTCAGAAACTGCTTGGTCCTTTAATATTGATGGCAGGGGTCCTAAAGAACCTTCAAAGCTTCTTTTCTTCATAGACAAGTGACCTCTGTCTCTCCCCTGCTTACCACCCAAAGCTTGCCAGGCCCTCTCTCCTTCCTGGGGCAAATGCTTCAGTTTGGAGGGAATGTCACAATATGGAGGAACATGCCATACAACAAATGGTTGTTGTTATTTTATTTTAATTTTTTTAAGTCTTGACAGTTTTGTGTATATATGTACATTAACAAATTTTCAGTTTCACCCTCCATTCTCCTCTCTTATTCTCCTTCCCTCTCTTCTAAACTCCTTTCTTGCCAAAAAGTCCCCCCTTGTCTTTTTGTGTCTACTTTTTGTGGGTGACTCAAGGAGTTTAATTAGGGTTATGTTCATGAATGTGGGTAGGAGGATTTTTATTAAAGTATGGACAACTTATCAGTGGCTACACCCCTGAAGAAAATGACACCCCTTTCCCTGCAGCCATTAACTGCCAATAGTCCCTCAAGGAGGGGTAGAGCCTCAAGGACCCCTCCCAAACCCATGATGGATTGTTAACAGGCCCAGGTAAACTGTTACCCATGATTCAAAATTCATAAGGAATGTCTTCTTATCCATGCAACCTTGACTTACTATTTAATATATACAATATCCTTGGATTCTTAAATTCTACAGCATTGCTATGCATGTATTACAATCTGTTCAAAATTGTTACTAATAGTGCCCACATTTTTTTGACTAGTTTACTGAAGAATTAGGTACCATTGAGAGTTCAATCCAGGGCTTTGTACATACTAATACATACTTTATCACTGAATTACATTCCCAGTTTATACAATTTTAGAAATTTGTTATTGGATGTGGAGTTCTTACTATTAATTAGCTCATTAGTCTAGAAATTTTCTTCATGTATCAATTCAGGTATTTATCCATGTTGGGATATCTTTGACTATTTAAACTTGATGACTGAAATACAGTCATTCATTATATCTAGTGAGCATCAAAGCATGTTCTAGGGCTAATAACTGGTGACACATCAGTATAAATGATAGACAAAATGTATCTCTTCATAGGATTTACAATCAAGTGGAGGAAAACAAAATAAATACATCAACAAATGAATAAATAAAGCTTATAGAGTGATAAGTAATGTGGAGAAAATAGAAAAGAGTAAATACAGACACCAACAAAAGTGGTTTCACAATGTTGGAGTGACCTTGGCATTTTTCTGTGCTAGTAAACGGAAGGTTTCAAGTTCCACAAAGTGAAGGTCTATGGTTATATCAAGGTTACGTAGCCTATAAGGGCTAGACTGACATTGAATCCTAGTAGTAGTACATGTATTGCTGTGTGAGTTTGTCTGTCTCAGTTTTTATAAAGCAACAGAACTACTAAAAGTGATTTGAATAAGCAACATAGAATAGAGATTTGTCTTAAATAATTATAAAAGTTCACTGAGGGTTCAGTAGAAACTCTCTACCTATTTGAGGTTGGATGGATGTTACTATATATGATACAAAACTACTAAGAAAAGATCATCTAAAATGCAAAAAAAGCAAAGCAAACCAAAAACCCAATAATAAAACAGACTTTACAAGAACAAATTAGAACCAAGGTCTATATATAACTGCCTTTGATCCAAATAAAGTGAGCAGTGTGTACTGCTGCTTTTTACTACATATGAGAGCACCTGGAAGATTCCGTAGGACTTGAGTGGCTGAAGCTATCTGCTTGCCTATGTCTGAAAGCTGAACCACAAGATCAGTAAATGTGCAAAAGCTGCCACAGCCCATGTTGTATGTAATGGATACTGCTTCCAGATGAGTGCCCCGCCCTATCCAGAATGACACAGGGAATGGATATCCTGGCAACAAGACTCATGTTTAGGTGAAAAGACACAATGGCCATGGTTCATACAGTGTGGCCTTGAATGACCATATATGGTATCTCTGGCACACAGCTGGACTTTAGAACTTCTGGAGCAGTGTGCTTTTAACAGCACAGAATTCTCTCTTTCATGGAGGTCTTGTCTCATGTTTGTAGATTGTACAATATTTATCACAGAAAGCAAATGTCTACTAAATATTTACTGAATAAATTGTTCACATTATTGGATATTCTTGATCTTTTGATCTGGAAGTGACTGTATCTAATATAATTCTTAAATTCTCACAAATGACTACCTTGTATCAATGTACACAACAAAATAATAGGTAATCTTCTGAGAATAGACAAATAGGGCAAATCATTATTGAAAGGCTTTGCCTTTAAGAGAGAGTAGGCACACTCCTTCCCTCTCTAGTATCACTTGACCTGTACACCTGGACATAGAAGCTCCACAATCACTTGAGGATTGAGAAGAGACATCCTTGAGCTCTGCTGCATCAGAGGTCCTTGAGGTGGGGTTCAGATCTGTATATTTGAATAATCCCTCCAGGTAACTCTGACAGACACTGAAGTTAAAGAATCACTCATTAAGTTGCTGGAATCTTGAACATGGAAATGAAGAGGAGGTGATTTGGGTAACCAATTGGCAAATCTGTGTGTTTAGCTAGTAAAAATAATATAAGGAACTGCAGAGTTACTTTGGCCACTTCAGGATAGTTGGCACAGGAAGAACTAGAGGCATGTTAGGGACCAGGGACCAGTCCTGTTAGAAGCAGATGCGTTGTAAGAGTCACCAAGCAGCATTGCAGAGGTTTTCCTCAGTGGTACACAGAAGCACACATGCTCACAGTAAGATGGGTTGCTGACTGTGTGTGAAGTGACAGGTTTATATGAGTCTCATATGATCCTCAATTGCAATGCCCTTGTCTAGTAAAAGGAGAGTCAGTTTTTTTCCTATAGGATCTTGAGAAGATTGAGAAAGAACTGTTTTCTTGTTAGAGACAACACTCTTAGCTGTCTTTCTTCCATCTGCCCACAACTACTTCTTAATCCAGCCCCACTCTCATGAGTCCCTGAACCATGGTTTGATTCTTCTCCAGACACCTACTTGTCTCTACAACTCCATGTTTGACATCACAGTCAGATAATCTTATGAAATGATAGTCATCTAGCAAAGTTTGTTTCAAGTTTATTCCCCTATAGACTCAAAGCTGAAGTTCTATTTCTCTATGTCTTCTTTCAGTTCATCTTCTTAAGACACTAGTGGATCACAGCAGATAGTGCAAACAGCTGAAGGAAGACAGAGCTATTGACAAGACATCTGATAAGCAAACACACACACACACACACAAACACACACACACGCACACACACACAGAGGTGGATAGTGATTTAAAAGGGAGCACTAGGGTAACGTTTTCATCTATCCTTGATGAAGAAGGACTTCAGAGGGAAAAGGCTTATGTGTATTGAGACTTATGGGAGTAAATGGAGCCTCATAGAAGAACCCTACCCATCTGTTGTAGAAGGAGTAGATGCTTCTGGGATGGGAGAGGCCTTGGAAGGAACTCAGAGGGCAATGGACAATAGCACAGTACTTGACTAAAAAGCCATGGCGTTGTGTAGAACTATAGAAACAGAGCATGAAAGCCACCCAAAGGTTGGGCTGTAGCTCAATGGTAGAGTGTTTATAACACTCACAATGCCTTAGATTCAATCCCAATACACACATGCACACACATACATACATGCACAGAGAGAGAGAGGGAGAGAGAAAGAGGGAGAGAGAGAGAGGGAGAGAGGGGGGGGGGAAAGAGCACTCAGGTGCTCTTTTCTTTAAACTTAACAAATGACTTAAAGGAGTAGAATCTCTCTTGCAGGTCTAACTGTATGGACTGAAATTAATACTTCCTAGGCTGTACTGTTTCCTTACTAAAATATTTCTAAGTCACTTAATTTTGATAACTATTGTACAGTATAAGGAAGACTCATTATACTTAAATTAGCTTAAACATTGCTTGATTGGATGCTTTTGGAGTCCAATTGCCATAAAAAAGGAAAAGAGAAAGAAGAGAGGCAAATTTAATCAGATCCAAATTTGGAAGGACTGGAGATCTCAGAGTCCAACTTGATGGCCTGCTCCTGTTGGCCTAGTAGGAGTCAGACTGGTAAATACCATTACATAGGCATAATGCAATAAGTCTGTGGGGTTTGATATTAAGTTCAATGCACTGGAAGGATAGAGGAAGGACTGATTAAATTTGGGAATTGGGGGAATATATGAGTCAGGGTCCCATACAAACAGATGGGATAGTTAAAATAGAATGGTTCAGGAAGGAACTTTGTTCTCCATATGTGTGGACAGAAGAAATACAGGAAATAGCCCTGATCCAGGATGTGGGATAATAAGGGCTGTCAATCTTTAATTTTCTAAAGGAAAAGGAAGATCCCAAGGGAGAGAAAAGGATCTTCAGTTGAGACACATAGCTAGAGATGAGGTCAGAGGAAAGATGGAGGACTTATGTCTGTCCTATTAACCACCATCTTACTTTACAACCTATTCCCAGGAGTCCTCACAGGCTGAGCCTAACTTGAAGCCTGGAACCCCGGTGATAGAGTCCATTAAACTAGTGCTTTCAGGAGTTCAGGGTAGGAAGTAATCAGGAAGACCCTGTAGAGACAGGTGGGATTAATGGGCTAGAGACCCAGTACAGAGAATGTGATGCCCAAGCACTGTGAAGGCTCAAGGGTGTTTGCCAGGCATACAGCAGAAAGAATTAATCTGAATTCACTTTTCTTCTTGAAATAATATTCTTTATTCTTTTAGAGTTCTATATATGTATACAATGTATATTGATCGTATGCATCCACCTTTTTCCAGTTCCCACCAGAGCCCTCAGCTGTTGTGGGAATTCGATCGGTTCAGGTTCAGTCAACAGTGGTGGAGTGGGAGCAAGCCACGGAGAGCATGACTTGCAATTGGTCTTCATTACCCCTGGGTAGAACAGCAGGACATCACTGGAAGAACAGCAGCATATCCTCTTATCTGCCACAAATCGTTTTCTCTGATACAAAGCACTTGTGTCAATGATGCGACAAGTCTTACTGATCTTTACATGAAATATAAAGAAATGATCAAGTCATATACTGTATTCAATAAGATTACATCTTCAACAGAGGCCAATTTTTCATGAAACCAAAAAAGCTTTTTCTGAGATCCATAAATTATATTGGCTACTGATAAGACCCAGTACCTGGTTTTATACTTGTAAGTTGATGTTTGTCTAAACGAGAGTATCCCATCCAGTTTATCCAGGGTTTGCACTCCACAAAGCCTGGGCCTAAACTTTAACCTATCTTTTATTGTAATCTTCAATGCAAGACAGCAATTCAACACTGTTCTGTATTCCATTTCTTCCTGACATGCTTTCAAATTCGTGGTTCTTATAGCAACACTCACTTAAAAACAAAAACAAAAACAAAAAAAAAAACCCTCAAATCCAGGACTAACAAACAAAAAGAGCAACTCAGAATACAGAATGTTCTAGGCCCAATGGGATTCCAAAATGAGGACAAGAAGACTTTTCTAGTAGGCACCAAGTGGTGGTTTTAATTTCTGTTTGTTCACTTATTCTTTGCCTGCAGATTCTGCGTCAGGTGAATTACCCCAGGGAGAAAGTCCATTTGTGCCACTCCTAGACTCCCACCATTTTTCCAGGTTGTAAAATGCAATTGCTTTGGAGAGAAGAAGGATTAAAATTAAAGCCATATTCATTAGTATATCTAAATGGAAGCAACCTGTCTTATTGTCTGCATTCATTAGGAGCAAACATCAACAGTGATCCTGAATCTGTCTCCTCAATTAGGTAATAGAATTGTGCACACCCCCCATGCAGAAGGGGACATGCCTTGGCATTTGAACCTGACTTGGTTAGTGGCTCTGGGGACTTTCTGCATCTGAAATTCATATGCTTCTCTCCAATATGGGTCCTCCTCTCACTTTTCATTACAGTACATCATCTTTAGGTTTCACAAGTATGTATTTAAACTTAAATCACCTCTATGAATAAAAGCAGATATTACAAATAACTCTGTATGGAGTTGGAGACAGTTGGTACCATCATAGAAAATGAGATCCCATGTATTTATTTTTTCCTTCCTTGTCTTGACTAGCAACATCCTTGCATCTGTCCCAAGCCCCAGTGAGGAACAGGAAGTGTGTCATGAGCATACCTCCTGATGTTTTGTTTGGTGAACATGGCTTCTTCCTGGTGTTATGTAGCCACCTACTCTTTAATAATATGGTCATGAGAAACCCTGGCTTAGGGTCTCCTATACTGCTTTACTCATTTGTACCAGGGCTGAATAGATTCCCAGGATAGGAAGTTCAGAAGAAAGAATCAGGAATTACTTCTTCTCATTAATCTAATTATCTATAGACAGCAACTTCTCTGTTCATGCTTTGCCATGCAGTCAGTGTCTGGGCCATTAAGATTCATATTTTCAGCTTTATCTGTGACTGGGTATATAGGTCTGTTTTGGGCCTTCTCCCCAACTGGGCTGCCATAATTCTTCCTTTTCTCTTATCTACTTTACCTGTCTCTCATCATAGGTGGAATCAATTTTCCTACTCTTAGATCCACACCTGCACTTTCATTTTTTACACCAGTTAAGGGCAATGGTGATGATATTATACAAGTCACAGGTCTAGCTCTTAAAAGGCCTAGAAGATTCCATTTTCTATTTTTTAGAATCTAGTTGTCATTCTGGATTTAAGTTCAGACTGTTTCAGCCAGGGAGGCAGAGAGAAAGGGAGAGAGAGAGAGAGAGATTGGAAAATACTTCATGGAGTAAGGCCATATGTAGGACAGCTATAGTATCACAATGGGAACATGGATACAGACACATGGAATGGTCTCTGGGGGGTGGTCATCCAATTCAGTCCACCTGCCACGTGAACATAGATAACAGGTGAATGAAAACAATGCTTGATGTCTAACAGATACACAGAACCACTAGAACTATATGGTCAACCCACAGGATCATCAAAATTCTGTGATAAATTATGTGACAGAATTATGAGAACTGTCCAGCTAACCCACAAAACTATCAGAAACATGTAGTCAACCTACCCCTAGAACTCAGTGATCTACCAACAGAACCATCAGAACTATCTAGTCAACCTACAGAACCATTATAACTGTTTGATAAACCTATACAACCATAAGAACTGTATGGTCAACTCAAAGAACTATCAAGACTATCTAGCTGACACCCAGAAGAACTGCCCACGCAACCTACTGATCTATGAGAACTTTGTGGTAGACCCATGGAACCACCTGAGCTATCCAGTTGAACCACAGAATGAACAGAACTATATGGATGAACCACAGGGCCATTGGAACTGTCCAGTCAACCTATGGAACTATCAAAAGTGTGCAGTCAACCCACAGAACTATCAGAAGTTATACAGCATTGTTTTGATACTCCATGCTTGGAGATTTGTTGCATAGAAATAGGTAGTATACTTTTTTTTATTGGTAATTGCTGATAATTTTAGAGGTAAAGACATAGCAAGCCTACTTGGACACCTACTCAAATTACATTCTCCAGATACATTTATTAGAAACAGTGATAGTATTTAAATCACCATACTCCTAGGTTAATTTGTCCATTGGATAGAGTAAGGATGGGTAGGTAGGAGGGTTTGGAGGGAGGAAAGGGAAGGAGGAAGTATAACCTCAAAAAATAATAATGAGTAATTGTGGAATGATTCAGTCCTAACAGGCTTGAGGGCCAGCTGGCCCAAACCAGTAATAAGGTTATTGAGAGCCAACCTATGTCTGCCTAAGGGCCTTAGCAACAGCAACTGAGACATGATCTGAGATGACCTGGACCAATGAAAGACAGCCATGTCACACCAGCAGATGCATATTTGTCAGACCTTCCCCAAGGGCAGGGTAGAGGATATATAAGGCTTGATTCTTCCTAAATAAACTGAGCTTGTTGTGTCAATATCCTCCCAGAGTCTGTATTGTTGGCTCTGTGCCTACTTGCTCCCTCCCCCAAAGGAAACAACAGCACAGGACCCTGAAACAAGTAATAATATAATACTGTAGTAATTCTTAGAGAACTTCATACAAAGCACCTTTATCATCTCTACCTCCCTTCACTTAATTATAAGAAGAAACTATCTTGAAGCAGATGTATGGGTATCTGATCATGTTGTATCATATTATTTTATTTTTGTAGTGTCAAAGATCAAACCCAAGATTTTACGTATGCTAGGCAGCAAATGTTCTCATCTACTGAAGTATGCTTCCAATTCTAATTTTTTCTACTGTTGCAAAATACTCAGTTTACATCTGTACCACATTTTCTTCCCTGTTTATTCATTAACTTACATTTGGGTGGATTCTATATTTGTTTGTATCAATAATCCTATAAATAATCACATCCAGATGTGGACATGTTTTCATTTCTCTTAGGTAAGTACCTAGGTGTTCAAATGAGATGCACGGATGTTCCAATGGTGACATCAACATTTGTATTATCCATCCCAATGGCTGTGAAGGAGCATGCCATTGGGTTTTGATTTGTATTTCTTAGATTTTCTTTGAGAAATTTATGTTCATAACCATTATCCCTTTTTAAAAATTGCATTTATATGGTGTCTCACACCTGTAATCCCAGCACTTAGGAGGCTGAGGCAGGAAGACTACATGTTCAAAATGAAGGGTTGTTTGTTTCTTTCCTATTGAGTTGTGAGTGTTCTTTATAATATGTTCTCTCATACCAGATGCTTGATTTTAAATATTTCATCTAATTATGTCTGGTGTCTTTACAGCTGTTCTTTTTTCCTTAAAAACAAAAAACAACCAAACCAAAAAAAAAAAATAGCATCAGACTATAGCTCAGGCTGGCCTAGAGTTTATAATTTTCCTCTCTTGTGATCCTGAGTGCTGGGTTTATGCTGTTTGTCACTGTGGATGGCTTCTTTGCATGTTTTTGATTGTGCTCCTGGAAGTGAAACTGTTATTGGTTTTTTACTCACTTTGTATACCAGACTGGCTTCACACTTGTGTCAGTCCTCTTGTGTGGTAATATATTGTGTAGCCTTATAAACTTACCTGAGAATCAGAGGACAAATTAGACATAAAGGCCAGACAGTGGGGGCACACACCCTTAATCCCAGTACTGGGAAACATACATACCTTTAATTCCAGGAAGTGATGGCAGGGTAGAGGAAGTTACATAAAGTGTGATGAAACAGGAACTAAGGCAGTTTTTTTGGGTGAGCAGTCAGAGGATTCGTGGAGTTGGTGAGGTAATAGTTGGTGGCTGTGGCTTGCTCTGCTTCTCTGATCTTTCAGCTTTTACCCCAATATCTGGTACTGGGTTTTTTATTGAAAGGCCATCTAAGATTCAAACAACACTCCTGCTTTAGCCTTCTGAATGCTGCAAATACAGGTGTGTGTGACCATAACTGGCTATGAAAGATTTCAATTTTGATTAAATTCAATTTATCTGTCACAAAGTCTTTACCTAATATGTGCATCACTAAAACTTATTCCTTCCTTCATTTTTATTTATTTGTATGTATATGTTTACATGTGTTCATAAGTGCACATTTGTGTTGGTGTGTGTGTGTGTGTGTGTGTGTGTGTGTGCATGACTGTGTGTGTGTGCATATGGAGGTCAGAGGTCAAGCTCAGGCACCTTTCCTCAGTTGCTGCCCATTCTTTTGTCTTTTGAGACTCAGTCTCTCACTGGCCTGAAGATCACCGTGTGGACTAATTTGCTAACAAGGGAGCTCCAAAGAGCTGCCTGTTTCTGCCTCCCCAGTACTGATATTACTAGCATCAAATCACCATGCCTGACTTACACACACACACACACACACACACACACACACACACACACACACACACACACACACGGCCTCTGTTTCAAACTCAGATCTTCATGCTCACAAAGCAACTATGTAAACATCAGAGGTATCTCTCCTTCCCTTTTGTTTTCTTGAGTTGTATGGCTTTAGCTCTTACAGTGGGCCCAACTTAATTTAGAGTTTTGTGTGTAAGTATCCAGGAGTTCTCAGCACTGATTGTTGTAAGTATTTTACTTTCCCTATTGAGATGTCAGCATCCCAGGAGGAACCCATGGCCTTAGTTAGGAGGGTTACACAGAGGATTTATTGATACACTTTCTTCCCCATTGAATTGTCATCAGAAACTATATGGT